CAGGGTTGTCTGAAATAAGTTGTAGTTTGTCCTAAATGTCTCAAGAGCGTCTCCGACATGACAGAAGCTGCTCCAAAATGACTTCAAAATGGCAAAAATGTACAAACCTGCACAAAAGTTCTCCAAATTAGTCCAAAATAAGTTTGAATTTGTCCTAAAGGTCTCAAAAGTTGTCAAAAGTTGCGCCAAAAACATCCAGCATGACAAAAACTTGTCTAAAATGACATGAAAATGCACAAACCTGCACAAAATTACTCAAATTTAGTCCAAAATAAGTTAGAATTTTTTGGAAATGTCTAGATAGTCACCTGAAGCCACTCATATTCATCCAAAATTACTTGAAAATTGTTCAAATTGCGAAAAATTTTCCAAAATTTGTCCAAAACATCTTAAAAACAATCAAAATTACTTCAAGGTTGCCCAAAATAAGTTGTAGTTTGTCCTAAATGTCTCAAAAGTGTCTCCAACATGACAGAAGCTGCTCCAAGATGACTTAAAAATTGGCAAAAATGCACAAAACTGTAATAAAGTTCTGAAAATGAGCCCAAAATAAGTTTGAATTTGTCCTAAATGTCCAAAAATCATCCAGATTTGTCCCAAACAGGTTATAATGTGATGCTTCACCGTGCTGGATGTGTCTTCCACCAACTGGCTGCTCTGTTCACTGTTTCTGAACCAGGCTGCTTTTATTTATTCATCCAAAAAAACAACCTGTAGTGGAAACACTGCATAAAGTTCAGCCTGAACACTCGGTTGGTTGCAGCTGAGTCACGATGTTATGGTTGCACCGAGGAGCTCACCGAGGTGCAAATGGTTCATTTCTGACTGTCTTTCTCTGCCGTCACAACTCTAAGCTCAGATTTGTTTATTATTTTGGACAAAACCAAAAGTCAGGCGTGATCAGTTCAGTCAGAATCAGACGGTTCTTGGTGTTTTTATAGTTTATGGGTGAACAGATGGTCTGGTTTTGCTGTCCAGTCAAGTCACCACTGTTGGGTAACGACCAAACCTGATGTAAAAACTAGATTTTGCGTCTTTAGCTAAACCTCATGATGTCGGAAAGGCCGACTGTCAGAATAAGTTACGTCTCAAACCTCCCTCGGTCAGAAAGGCCACATTTCCGTCGCCATTTTCCATCATTTGAGCCTCGTCTGGAGCTTTTTAACGACGATATCTGGTCGTATTTTCTTATTCAGCGGTTTAGTGACTCCAGCTGTTCGTCCTGATGCAGCCGACTCCTGAAATGACTTCCTACAATGAGCCTTCTCTTTGCCAATTTTGTAGAAAGTTGCACCACATTTAGGCAGAAGTTTGACCAAACTCTGTCTCTAGTAGTGGATTAAACCTCTTAAACTCATCTCTGTGTGTCAGAGTTACATCAGAAGAGTTTTATTCCCGTTAAAATGATCCCTTCTGGTTTGGTCAGTATGAAACCCTGAACTCTTCACAGCTATGAGCCGTGGTGTCGACTAGCCTGTAGTAAACTAGATGTTATCAAGGTACAACATGGACTTTCACTGGAGCTGCTCTTGTTTTCTGATCATGTTTGCGGTGAGCAGATGTTTTCGCTGAGTCGCAGCGTAGCAGAAATACCTGCAGAGGTTTTGATCGTCGGCGGTTTGTCGCCTTCCAGTGAGTCAGTCACAGAGGAAACGGTGAAACCCTGCCGTTCTGCAGAACCTCAGCGCAGCGTCACACTTACTGTTGAGGTTTGGCCTGGAGACACGCTGAGGTTAGCGCTAATAACGGGTCGGGGTTATCCGGGGTTTGGACTGAGGTCACGGCCGGGTCACCAGAACCGAAAGCACAGCGGCAGTGTGAACGTCAAACCAGCTCCGGTGTTCACATGTTTGATTTAATCTCATGGATGGAACCAGTTTGCAGCATTCAGAGCTGGTTGAGAGTCTTTAGATTCAGTTCTGGTTCCGTTTATCTCGTTCCCACCCTCAGATTGTGACGACGTGCGATCAGGAAAACAGAAATTCCTTCAGAAGAATCTCACTTTTATATTTGGCAGGTCTTAAAACATAGAAAGAATCCTGTCTCTAGATGATCAGCTGGTAGGTTCTGGAGATCAAACGGTCCTTCCATCATCTAGAACTGGTTCTGACCAACCACCATCACACATGCTGACATGAGCCTGGAAAGTTTACCCAGAATGCACGTTGTAAAGTTTCCTCTGCTGAATGATCAGAACCAGAACCACATCCAGAGTACCGATGATTGTTTGTCATAGACATTAAACTGTTACCACGACAATACATCCCATAACACTGATGCCACCAGCTCAGCAGAACTGGATTTTTGCACTTTTGGACATTTTTTCCGAATAATTTTTGATGGTTTTCAAGGAGTTTGGACCATTTTTTCATTCTGGTAAAACTTTTGCTGATTTTGGAAAATTTTGTCATTTTGGGGAAATTTTTCTAAATTTCTAAAAAATCATTCTTGGACACTTTTGATGCATTTTGGAAAACTTTTAGATAATTTGTTTGTTTTTTTGTTATTTTAGTCATTTTGGACAATGCTTTTCATTTTAGATGTTTTCATCCAGTTTGGAAACTCTTCTCTTTGCATCTCTGACATTTGAACATTATTTTTGTTTCATTTTGGAAAAGCGTCGAGACGTTTGGATGAATTTTAGTCAAATTGGACAAATTGAGTTGTTTGGGACGAGTTGTTGTAACCTTGAAATCATGAAATTCTGAATAATTTTGGAAACCAGAAACACATCCAGGGCACCAACTCTCATTTCTGTGATACATCCCATAATACTGATGCTACCAGCTGGTTCTACAGAAAACCAACAGAAACCAGATCCAGTGTTCAGACGGAGACACCTGGATGGATGTAGAACTGATCTGGTGTCAGGTTCTAGCAGAACCCAGATGTGTTCTTCCTCCTAAATGTCATGTGTCTATCTGAGGTACTGATGAAGTTCTGAGGCTCAGAAATGATGGAAGAAGTCCATTAAGGTGATCAATCTGGACCCTCCTCTGTGGATGAAGGCAGAACTCTGCACGTCTTCAGTAAATAAATGAAAGTTGTCGTACTCTCGACATCAGCTGACTCTGAGGAGGCCTCGTCGAAGCTTCTTTCTCAGATGTGGTTGATTTTATGGCCCAACTGAAAAATAAAACCACAAACCCTCTCCATCACTTCTCATAACTCTGCCTGAAAGTTGTTGCTCAGCGTTTCCCCTGTTTGATATGGTGATGTGGTGAATTCAGGCAACACCCAACATGGTTTCTGCACATTTTCATCATCCTTTGTCCTACTTCTGCTGCGGCTCACAAGTTTACTCTGACAGAAGTGTTTCGACACCCGGCGGACTCGTTGAGTGTCGTCACGCCGCCGCCTGATGCACTGTGGATCTAACAGACGTGATCAACAGCAGATGTTTTAACCTGTCGCAGCAGGAAAAGCAAAAGAATTGATTTTGACGATACAGTTTAACGAAAATCGAGCTGGAAGCCGACGTGCTGCACAGTTTAACTCTCGGCTCTTGTTCCTCGTTGAGCTTTTACACAAGCAGCACAATTAACAAACACAAAATACGCTCCAGACATGAATGCACCAGAACTAAACAGCATTTGTGATGAACAGGGAGAAGAAAACAACTAGAATCAGGAAAATAAAAACTGTTCTGATCCAGAGTAGGCAACCCTTCATGGAGATCAAGTTTAGAGATATTTCCAATTAAAATCAACCAAATCTGAAAGAATTCCTCCTTGGTTCTGTATCTGCAGAACCTTTATCTACTGACCAGAGTTCTACCTTCAGACTGTGAATGTTCCAGAGGTCCAGGTCCTTGAAGTCCACAGAGGAGGGTCCAGATTGATCACTTTAATGGACTTTTTCCATCATTTCTGAGCCTCAGAACTTCATCAGTCCAGCAGATAGACACATGACATTTAGGAGGAACAACACATCTGGGTTCTGGTAGAACCAGATCAGTTCTACATCTATCCAGGTGTCATCGTTGAAAAACAAAAAACAAAACCCCAAAAAAGTCATTTGAAGACGTCAGCTTTGGCTCTTTAACTATTTCATGACGTTTTATGGACAAAAATAGTTGATTAATGACTTTGAATTGTTCAAAATTTAAAACAATTTTGCCCCAAATGACTTAAATTTGTCGAAAGGCCGAGAATCTTTTTCCGAATTGACTCAAACTGTGACAATAGTGACAAAAACTAGTCCATAAAGATCCAAAACCCTGACCTACATGAGTTCAAAAGTTGTCAAAATTATTTAAAAATTGTCCAAAACCCCTTGAAATTGGTCAAAGATTATTCCCAAACTGACCAATATAGTCACATTTTGACACTTGCAAAGGAAAATCCAACCGACTGGGTCAATAAATAAAAGCAGCATGGCTCAGAACCAGAGAACAGAGGAGCCAGGTGTTGGAGATCCAGCATGGTGGAACATCTTTCTACAGTAGAGAGGAAAAGTTATTAGAAATTTACACTTTTTTTCAGTATTGGTAAAACTTGTGGTTGTTGTTTTTTCCGTAGAGATTGCAGTGAAGAATGATCGGGTTTCAGTGGGTTGACGCTCCTTCAACACATCACCAGGCTCTAAAATTAGCTTCTGCCCCGTAAAGAGTTTCTTCTGGCGGTTTTACTTTCCGACGGTTGACGAACTCTTGTAGGCGTTTTTTGTGTCTCTACTGCTGCTCAGGAGATGGATAGATAGATAGATAGATAGATAGATAGATAGATAGATAGATAGATAGATAGATAGATAGACAGATAGATGGTCAAGGTTGAGCTTCAGGGGACCGCTACGATGTGAAGCTAACTTCCTGTCAGCCTGGTCCGTGACTGTTGGGTGAAATATTAAGAATATGAAGAAGGTTGTCGGGGGACTTTTTTTTCACTTTCTGCTGCTCAAGCAGTTCCTCCTCCTGTGGTTCAACTTTCCAACAGTCCAGGAACTGCTGTTTGATCTCGTTCAGGTTCAGAAGATGAGTGTTGTTGCAGAACTTGTCAACCACTGAAAAAAATAAAAATAAAACCTGATTCCAGCTTCTTAGATGTGAATATTTTCTGGTTTCTTTTCTCCTCTATGACAGTAAACTGAGCGTCTTTGTCGTTTTGGGACTTTGGGAAACACTGATCAACTCTGTTTTTAGAGACCAAACAGCTGATTGATGAAGACAGGAAATAATTGACAGATTAATTGACAATAAAAAATATTTGTGAGTTGCATTTTAGAGCCACTACTGAGCAAATAAGTCAAACAATCCTTTTTTCACATCTACAATCACACATTCGGCATCAACAAACTCATCACGCTTTACGTTTGCTGTGTGCTGGTGTTGCTGGGAAGCTGCCGATACGTAACAGGGCCAACAAACCCACCATTTAATCCACAACTAGCATCAAGGACTGATGTTGTAACTGATCCCAACTTGTTTTAATGCATGTTTTCAAGCTGAACCCTCCACAATGCTCCATGACTGCCAACATGGAACTTCCTGCATGAAATGTCAACTCTATATCCTCCACTTTGTGTTTGTCACGTTGTAAAGCACATAAAGCTGCGTTGCTTCTCCTTGATGAGGACATCTCAAGCTAAGAGGCTTTTTGTTCGACATTTTAGAGAGCAAACTGCTAATTTATTAATCAGGAAAATAAAATGAAACCAGTCGTGAGTCGCAGTGTTTTTCAGAACCTTTGTGTTTTAGAGCCACTGCTGCAGTTTGCAATCAAAACACATGCAAAGACGTTGTCATGGTGCCCCTCCACTGGCTAAACCCCCACAATGCTTGAGGTGTATGTTATCTAGGACAGGGCTATATTCTAAAACAAACCCTTCACTGGGACGTCCCTGAGTTAAAGGACTTTCTGTTTGCTCTTGTCCAGGCGAAGGAGTTGCGGCAGCAGGCCTTGACGTACCGCCACCGAGCCTGGGGAACCAACTTCTCCAGAGACCACCTGAGCCAGCTGCGGTCTGAACACAACATCCTGTGGGAGCCGACGGACGCCACGGACTCACCGTCCAACGCCGCCACCGCCGACCCCGACAGTCGCAGCACTTCCCACGTGGAGGCGCTGGACCTGGCCAGGTGAGACGCTCGACAGGTAGGAGGTAGAAACATCGTCTACAAACTCAGATTTCTGACTTTCTGTCCGTCTGTTCACTCCAGTAGCTCCAGTAAGACGCCATCGGTTGCAGGTTCAGGTGACAAACGCCACATGAGCAAGAAGACACAAACAAACCCACGAACACCTTCAGGTCCTCCTGCTGAACGACGTGCAGCCTGGGGAGAAGAAGAAGAAGAAGAAGAAAACTCTGATGAGTATGTTTCTCTGCAGATTCTGATCAAACGCTCACAGTATTAATACATAACGTTGGGTACTTTGGTATCGATTGATTTAAGGTTTGACTACATACAGATGTGGCTCTACACACGACAGATGTTTATTGATCCAGTAGGTTGGATGTCGCTGACAGAGCTGCCCATCATGTGGGATCAGACACGTGAAAATCAAGCAAATAAATGCAGCATGGCTCAGAAACAGTGACCAGAGGACCAAGTTGTTGGAAGATGCATTCAGCTGATGGTGGAACATCTTTCTGCAGCTGATGTAATTAATGATGAAGCATTAGAACATCTATCAGTGTGCAGAGTCACTATTTTTATTCCTGTATTCTGAGTTGTGAGTCATTTTGGATGTTGACTAAGTTTTTTGAGACATTTTGGACAAATTTTAACTTATTTTGGACAAATGTTGAGTCTTTCTAATGATTTTAGGGCTTTTTGGACACACAATGACCTATTCAGGACGGATTTTGAGTCATTTTGGACAACTTTTTGCATTTTGGGCGATTCTCAAGTCATTTTGGAGAAGAAGTTTTTGTCATGGTGGATATTTTTAGTGTCATTTTGGAGGATTTTTGAGACATGCTGGAGAAGCTTTTACTGTTTTGGGCGTTTTCTTTGAAGTAAAATGACCTGTAGTCGTCTTTATTATGGTGAAAAGTGTGTTCCAGGTTATATTTGGCTGCTGAGTTTCCACAAAGCTGCACGTGGAAACAAACTTTAGTGTCCTGGATGGAGATGCATTTAGCTTAGGTGGCTAATTTCAAGATTTGGTAACGTCTGTAAGGACACATTGAAGAAAAACCCTTCAGCGTATATTCAACCACAACAAAAGATCGACGTGATTTCAGTCTGTCTTTGCCCAAACGTGATCACATTTCTGGTTAAAACAGAGAAAGTGTGTCAGACACCTGGAAGTGTGTCATCCAAAAAAAACACCAAACAAGATCAAAGAAACTTCTCTGAAGCTGACTTTGTGTTTCGCTGTTGTTGTGTTTGTGCAGAGAGGAGGGTCGGCTGCCGACTCCCATGCTGAGAACGAGGCCGGTTCAGAGGACTCACCACGACCTCACCACTCCTGCCACCGGTAACCAGGAGCAGCCAGGTTCACAGCACTTCATTCATTTCCTGGAGACTTACCGTCACCTTAACCTTGACTTAACTGTACCGACACACGCTCTGGGTCGCCATGTTTCCTCATAACTGTTTCCGTAACCAAGTTTGCAGTAAATAAACTCAACGAGGTGGTGCTTTAGGCGACGTTAGCCTCAATAAACGCAGTAAAAGAAGCCGGAAACAAGACAGCTTAAAAATGTTCAAGAAGAAACAAACAACACTTTGTCCATCTAGGAGAGAAATTTGTCTTTCATGTCATCTGGTATCGGACGTGTTTCATGGTGTTCGGAGGCAAAGAAAGAAACAGCCAGAAGCAAACTTTTTTCCATCTCCCATGAAGCTCCTTAACTCTCTTACAGAAAACTCCAGAACCACCTCAGGTGGGCGTAGAGTTTTCTGATGCCCATAGAAATACGTCACGGAAACACAGCTGCACTTTGAGATGAGTTGGTGAAACAGTTATCACCTGAAGAACCCAATATTTCATTCAGGAGGTGGTGAAGACCAAAAACAGAGCTAAAACTGAGAAAATACCGGATTTCTGTATTTTTATCCTCTTAAAAACATCTTTTGAATCATTTTCTTTTGTTGCTTGTTGTGCAGCGATGACCTCCTGTTTCATTTGTTTGATGTGTTTTGATAAACATCATTTCTGGAGATGTTGAAGCTTTTAAATGGTTTCTCAGGGAGGACGTTTCGTTGAAGTCAAAACTATTTGGGTCTATAAACAAATCAAATTGTCAACATTCAGCTAAAATCATTTATAGAACTAAGTTTTGGGTTCTGAATAACAAAACAGTGCAGCAACATATTTCCTATTTGAACTGACCCAAGGCTGTGGTGGAGGCTGGCGGAGATTATTCACACAACAGCATTCACAGCACTGAATGTTCATCAACAAGCAGCTGAACAGAAGACTGGTGAACCTCAGTCTGGCTCAAAGGACCAGTAAAAATGGTGCCGAAGAAGTGACGAGAATCCCAAAGACGAATGCCACAAACTGTCTTTTATTAATTTATACAATTTGACCCAACAGGCAGAAATCTGAAAATAAACACCATCCGATGAGTTTGTTTCATTCATCTGTGGACTTCAGCATGTTTCTGAATTTAAAGCTCCAAAGTTAAACAGATTTATGTTAACACGTCTGATCTCTGTCCGTTCTGCAGGAGGCGCTATCCTCGTTGGAAAGCTGAAGGGCGCTGATGACTTGTCTCCATACAAACAGGTAACAACGCTGTAAATACGCTGTTTTTTATTATATTTCGACACTGATTTCAATCTTTCTCTGTTCAGAGATCGATCTCGGCCGTTTCGAGGGCGGAGACTGCCGTCGACCTGCCGGTCAAACCCAAGGAGGCGTGGTCAGAGGTGAACCCCGCCTCCACTAGCCCCTCCCCCGACCACAAACCGTCTTCCAGCCGTCTGTCTAAACCAATCAGGACGAAGCAAACGCCTCCATCCCCCGTAGCTCCGCCCCCTCTGGTGCCGCCTCCACAGCACTGCATCCAGGGAACGCTGAGACACCCGGACTTCCAGCACAACGGTGAGCGTCTCGACTGGGACGACTGGTGGTGATTCAGGGGCTGCAGGTTCTGTGCAGGTGGACGTTGCATGTGAGACTGTACGGGACCATTTCGATGATAATCACAGATATATTTCAGCTGAAAGAATTCACAGCAGCGACTGAAACTGTTTTGAAGGTGTAGTGGCTGCTTCACCAAAAACTTCTCCGTCCGAACATTTAAATGTCTTCACGTTCATCTTCCTCCTGCTGGGATGTTCTGCAGCCGACCTTCAACCATTTCTTTAAACAGTTCTTTGAAAAAACCCCAAAAGTTTCTCAGCTAACCATCAAGAAATTGTTCCTTTAAGCACAAAAAATGGCACCCCAAAGAACTCTCATCATTACTTTACGTGGTTCTTTAAAGTTCTAAAGGTTCTAACTGAAGGTATTTGGTTTGGTGGCAGAGAAAATCACGAAATTAGAGCAGCAGCTAATGATTGTTTTCATCATTATTTGAATTATTTCTTCTACAGAACGTCAGAAAACACAAACCACAAGATGACATCTCGTCCACTGAGAAAAGTAAAGGTACTAACTGGAACCAAGAATGGTTCTTTTCAGTGATGCCATAAAAGAACCGTTTTAGTTCCACAACGGACCATTTCTTGAAACGGTTTCTTAAGGAGTCCACAAAGATTTAAAAAAAAAAAAGATTCCTTTCGACACCATGACTTGCACTCCAAAGAACCGAAGGAAAAGTAGGTTCTTTAAGGAACCGTTTTCCAGATAGTTCTTTGTGAGTTGATCTGTTCTGATAACGGGACTTAACAGTTGTTGAGTTGTTTGATCTTTAACGGGAAAAAGTCAAATGTAAGAATTGTTTTCATTAGGACACATTTAACATTCAGGTTCCTGGTCAGATGGAACATTTTACACGATACCAGTTTGGGTTTTGTGAAGCTGTGATGAACGTTTCTCACGGTTCTCTTGATGTTTTCGTAGAACAAGTGATTCACTGATAATAAAAATAAGAGAAAGTTGCAGCTCTAGTTTCATTCTGCCACCAATGAAAACGAAGAACCTGTAGCTCAAAGAGTATGGACATGAAGAACCATCTCCTAAATAGAGGTTCTTCAACTGGTGATGGTACTTTAAAGAACCAGAGCCTTTTAATGAACCATTGTTTTTCTGTGAGTAGCAAAATAGAACCATGTAGTTCCAAACAGATGACTATATGCAACACAAGACTATCTTGAAAATGGTTCCTTAAAGAACCTGCTTTTTGTACAGTTCTTTGGAATGCAATTCGTGGTGTCCAAAGAAACCATTTTTCTGAGGATTCTTTGAGTCACCTTTGTTGTTTGTTTGTGGAACTTAAAGTGGAACCTTCATGGCATCACTGCGGAGGACAATGTTTGGTTCCAGGTAGCACCTTTAGTTTACACTCTGAAGAAACATTAAACCCAAACGGGGGAAACAGGAACAAATGTTGAGGCGATAATCTTCAGAACAAAAGCAAAAAAATCCTCCGACTTTAAAGTTCTTCATGAGTTCTGCTGTTCAGCTTCAGTTCTGCTGTTTTCCAAAGAAAGAACCAAAAACAAACCGTTGTTCTGATAACTGATGACGTACAGACACACAAACATGATTCAGCGAGTGTCGGGTTTTACAGGAACCCAAACAGAATGAGGTGTTTTATGGTCTGATGGATCTCTGCCATCTGTCCTGGTTCTCCTCAGGTGACCTCGGTCTGAGGTTCAGGGAGCTGCAGTGTTCAGGTGGCGGCTGTGGCTCCGACGACGGTGAGTCTCTACGAAACAAAAACCTTTAAACGTGTTCAAACTGGGCTGAACCGCCTCTAACCAGCTCTGTGTCCGTTCACCACCAGACGACCGGCTCTCGGTGATGTCGTGGCGCTCGGCCGCCTCCTGCTCGATGGCGTCCGCTGTCCTGGAGCGCGCTCAGAAGAGACGGGAGAGCTTCTGGGGGAAGAGATGACGTCCGGCCTCCGCTGCTGTCGCCGCGGAAACTAGCGTGTGCTGTGTGTAGAGCTGAGTGGTTAGTGTGTTGGAAGCGTGTTTGACAGGAGAATCAACGCTGAATTTATTCATGTGAATGATTTTGTTGCTTCTGGTGTAAATGTGAACGGAGGTCGTTCTACATAAAACCAACCAAATCTGAACCCAGTTCCTCCAAACCTCCTCAGAACATCTGGTTCTGTATCTACAGTAACTTCATCTAATGAGACTGAGACACCTGGATGGATGTAGAACTGATCTGGTGTCAGGTTCTAGCAGAACCCAGATGTGTTCTTCCTCCTAAATGTCATGTGTCTATCTGCTGTACTGATGAAGTTCTGAGGCTCAGAAATGATGGAAAAAGTCCATTAAAGTGATCAATCTGGACCCTCCTCTGTGGACTTCAAGGACCTGGACCTCTGGAACATTCACAGTCTGAAGGTAGAACTCTGGTCAGTAGATAAAGGTTCTGCAGATACAGAACCAGATGTTCTGAGGTCAGGTTGGAGGAACTGATTGGGTTTTTATTGAGCTCTTCTCGCTGCTTGCGTCCTCCCGCAAAAAATCAGGAAGTTGTTGGTTGTAAACGAGCAAAACCTAAACTCCTCGTCAGCTTTCAGGTCAGCTGCAGTTTGTTTCCTCCTGAGAGGAAAGACGTTTGACCCGAATGCTTCCTAAAACGTTCTTTACAGGCTTCCTACGTTGTTTGTTTCAACACAACCAATCAAACACTCGGGCTGCGTTTCCACTAAAACTCCCAGGAACCTTTAGTTCCACCCTCTCATGCCCGAGAACTTTCCAGGGAACTACCGTCACCGTCGCCTCTGATGGTGTAACGCCCGGTGAAGACGAGGAAGGTCAGTCAGCTGACCCTGAAGGAGAATTCCAGTTTATTTCCACCTTCTTGTGTTTCGTGTAGCCGATGAGTCTCTAAATTGTGCTCGTTGTTGTCGAGACCTGATGACCTCAGAGGACGTCATTAATCAGACAGAAGAAAATATATTTCCTTGATTACTTATGAATCCGTCGCTACAAGTCCTGGAAAAAATAGGAGCCTCCACAAACTCTGTTCATTTTAAACCAGTTTAATGTGTCACGGCTGATCATGGATGTTCAGTTTCACCAGGGAACGCAGTTTTATTTGTTTTTTAAAGAATCTGTTTAGTGGAAATACTTTATATTTCTGGTGATTTAAAAAAAAAAATAAAACATGCAATAAATAAAGTGATTTTGATGAAATAGCCAAATTTTAATTTTGAATAATTTTAATTTGATTAATTTTCCTGAATTCTTTCTGTTTTTCTGGTTTCTTGGTAATAAATGATGCAATTTTGGCAACTTGTTGAAGTCAAAATGACCTTCAAACCCCTTGGCAAGGGTTTAAAAGAAGAATTTATTTCAGCGTGCTGTGTTTCCCATTAAAGTAGCTAACTCTAAACGTTGTGCTAACTTTGCTAAACTCTGGTGTAGAGTTTCAGGGAAACAGAGTTTAGCGGAGGGGAAATTAACATGCTAAAGTCGACCCATCCATCCACCCCGACCTCCTCCATCTAACCCTGGTCATAACTGCTTTGACCACTAGAGGGCGCTTCACCAGAAAACACAGCTAAACGTAGCTACAGTTTAGTTGTATAGTCATGTTTGGAAGACAGGGCTTGACAATACTACGGTAAATGTTTGTTTAGGTTGGTTAGGTTTCGGGAAATATCGTAGCTCGAGTTAAAATAGATGCTTTGTTCCGCCGTCCATCCACCCTGACCTCCTCCCTCTGCTACTGTCACAGTTACTTCGACCACAAGAGGGCGCTTCAGAAGAACGGCTGTACAGTAATATTTGGGAGTCAGGGCTGGACAGTACTACAGAACAGCTTTGTTTGAGTTAAAACAAGTGGTTAGAACAGATTAGAGGACCGTCACCGTCATGGTTACAATAATAAACGTGTTTTTAAAATTTTAAAGTAGCGTTGACCATCACTTTGGAGCAGAAAAGGACCTCATTAAAGTCCAGTTGAATTGTTGACCCGTCCATCCACCCCGACCTCCTCCCTCTGCCCCTGCCATAATGACTTTGACCACCAGAGGGCGCTTTATAAGAAAAAGTAGCTACAGCTTGTAGCAATCTGCTGCACAAACAAACACTAAGGGCATTTTTATGGGAGGACACTGCAGGGAATTATTTTTACTACTGATTGATCTGTCGGATCTTTTATTTTGTTATTTATTAGTTGTTTGTTGATAGTGTGTCCAATCATGGTTCATAGTTGGAGTTTGAAGACGTTTGTTGTCATGGTTACAAGAATAGACGCATGATTGAGGCTTTTAAGCAGAAAATAAAATGATATTAAAGTCCAGTTGAACTGTCGGCTCGTCCATCCACCCCGACCTCCTCCCTCTCTCCCGTCATGATCACTGCGACCACTAGAGGGCGCTTCATAGGAAAACTATGGCTTGTAACAAGCTGCTGCACAAACAACGAGGTCATGTTTTTTATAGGAGGACACTCATTCAGTAATGATGTTTTATTATCGATCAATCTGTCGGATATTTATTAGTTATTTGTTGATAACGTGTCGGATAAAAGTTGTTTTCAAATGTTTGTATAAAAGAACCCAAAGAGAAGCAGCTGACTCATATTTTACACTGAATAAATGCACCTGTTGGATTAATTGGATTTTGTTTTGGTCATCTTTTCTGTAAAAGAGCAAAAATGGAAAGTTTGAAAAGTTTTCATCATGTGTTCACGTGTTTGTTTTTCTATTTTCTGTCGCCGGCTTAATTAAACTGGGAATTAACAGCAAAACCCCTGACAGCGCTTTCACTCCACGCCTCTGTCTTTGTTCGCTGCTGTGTTGTTTGAATTCCTGCTGAAGGTGACGTCAGGAGAGCAAACAGCGTCGTCGCTTCCTCCAGAAGGACGGACTGACGGGCAGCAAACAGCCGCCGCTGCAGGTGTGTTCGTACCTGGTGAATTCCCCTCATAACGACACAGGCCTGAGCAAACGAGGTCCGGCTGACGGAGGCTCGGTGGGCGTGACCAGGAAGTGACAGCAAGTAAAGCACACAGAGACAACAATGAGGGAAAACAAGCAGAACAAATCCAAGTTTAAATCATTAGATGACTTTAAATGTTTTGTGTCTTGAATTAGATTCAGTTTTGGTCTCAGATTTTTGCTCTGTTTCTGCTGATTTGTGACATTTCTGTTCTGGTCTGTGGCTAAAGCGACACTGTCAACAATAAGTCTGGCAAAAAACATAAAAATCTGACATTAAGGGCGCCAGAAATAAAACAATAAAAAAAAAAGGTGGAGATCTGTAATGTTAAAAATGGTGAAAACAACAGCAAGTATCTGTAAAACAACTATTTTAGCTGATTTAAATATATTAAAACTGTCTAATTCTACAGTCACACATTATTAAAAAGTGAACGATTTTGTCAAAACAGATTCAGAGAGAAATGATGCACAGTTTGGATTTATTTTTTACAGTTAACTTGAAAATTGATCTGTTTTTTTGTGTGATTTTACTAAATCTGTAAATAAAAGAAGTTTTCAATCTAAAAAAATCTAAAATTCTTTTAATTCACAGCAAATATTTGTAACATAACAGTATTTGTTTTTTTTCTGATTTAAATACCGTAAAGATGTAATTTTACTGTCAAACACTGTAAAAGAACAAATTAGCATTTATGAAAATACAGATTTTTTAAGTTTATAATTTTGGCTCGTTTTTTAACGGTTACATGTAAATAATTGGGTTTTTTCTTTCTGTGATTTATCTGTGATATTATCTGTAATTTAGATCAAAAAAATTCTGTAAAATTACACTTAAAATGTCGTATGTATATATTTAATATAATGTAATTTTTTTGACTGTCGGTTGCTCCCTCATGTCTATTAGCATAAACTACTATCTTTTTTTAAATTTGCATGCAGATGTAAGATATTAAATACGTTATTTATTCAGGCAAACACTTTTATTCTGTCTTTTCATGTTCATTAATTTAAAATTTTGGGGATATTTAGCTTTTCTAACTTCATTCAGACTCAACAAACGTTCTTGTTTTTATTCTACTTGTTTCCAAATGAGTGCAAATAAATAATGAGCATATTTAGACATAAAACTTCATAAAACTCTTTTTTTTATCACTTCAACCCTCTAAACTCGAAGCACTTCCTTCTTGTTTTTGGCTCCAGCACCTCGTTTTTTATTATTAGAATAAATTTCTACTTCATTTTTGTCGAGCTTTCCAGAGCTGGAACGAACAAAGCTTTTATATAATTAATGACGTCGCTTGTGAAGGTGTAATTTTTAGGAAAAAACTGCTTTGAATGAACTAACACTTGAACCTGTTTGAATTAAATTAGCTTAATACAGCAACTGTTCTGTCTGAATTCATAAATATTTGGTCGTTGCGTCAGTTTTTTATGACCTAAAACATCTCTTTCATGTGTGTGATTAATATTTCCCTCTGAAGACGCAACAAGCAGCACTTTCATGATACGAACCCAAACTGTGGCTGCCGAAGCGACTTTGTGAATTACCTGTGGATGGGTTTGCTGAGCTGTTGGTCGCTGTGGTCGCTTCCCGTCACTGCTAACTGGGTGTTCCACTTCAGCCTTCCTCGTGTCGCAACATGTCGCGACTGGTGAATCTTCTGCTGACGTATTTCCTGTATTAACCCGATTTGATGGAAACCAAAAAAACTTACAAACAAAAAAACAACAAGCAAAACATTCCTGCAAACGAAGCAGAAGTTTGACCAGAATGTGCTGCTGCAGGTCGGAAACTCGGACTGGTTTGTTTGCATTTAATTGATTGTGAACAAAGAAAACGAAACCCTTTGCCGTAGAACATGTGAGACGGTTGTATCTGTGCAGCCTCTGATCCTGTTATCAGCCTCTGAGGGACTCCCACGCCCACGTCCAGCACAACAAATGGAAACGGAAAAAGGATCCGGCCACTCGATCCTTCACTCAAACCCGGAACAAGAATCGGTTAAAAGCTCGGACAAAACAGATAAAGCTGAGGGAAAGTTGGGCGTCGGCGTTAATCAGCGAGGCCGTTTTGGTTTTGTGCCCACGAGAGCTTTACTTCACTCCAGTGTCACCGATCTGGGGCGTCATGGAGTCCCCCAGGGATCAATAATGGATCCCCTTTTTATTCCCCTCTTGTTAATTTATTAATCGGCTTCCCTCGGGGGATATTGTGTGCAGCCGTGGCACTAATTTTTCTGGTAATAGGGAAGACTCGCTCCTGTGTATCCCGACAAAGCCGCTGTTACATAACTGTGT